CCCGGGGGGGGTACTCCCATATATTTGCTATACGGGGACGTGCCGCTGGCCAGGGTATGGTTTTTGGCCTTGCTGTCTTAAACAGGGTATACATTTCACCCGAAATTGTCTTAAACAGGCTCTACAATTTAGATAAAAGAGACCGATATAATTTTTTTGTGTGTCTTGGACAGGGTAATATTTTCATAACACCGTAGAAATAGTAGAAATACCGTTTCACTGTCCCAGAATTAACGTGTTATCAAAAACTTCTTATTGTCTTTGATGAATTTCAGTATATTTGCAGTTTTGATGGTTGCGGCGTAGATAGCTATTCCTTATATATTTTTCCGATTTGTCTTGAACAGGGTATGGATTTTTACTTTTTAGTGTCTTAAACAGGGTCAGGGATTTTCGGGGGATATTCACTCACACTTGCGAAGATTCCTTTGATATAATATGATACCAGTTGTGTAATTATTCAGAAGTGTATTACATTTTCTTTCTCTGGTGTCTTTACTGAATCACCCGACTTCATATCAATGACGATAAAATGATTTTTGAATAATTGTAAGCTTTTTTTCTATGAGCATGCATGAGCAACCAGATGAAATCTCAAGTTTGCTCTATGCGCAAAATCAACACAATTTGTAGTAATTTTATTTATTGCTGCTGTGACTGTGTAAAACGTTTACTATGCAATATTTCAATATATTTTTTACCGCATCTAAGATGGTGATCGTGGCCATATTATTAATAAAGTCTATTGCATGTCTAATGTACATGTCTCTTGCTACCAATAAGGGCAATCTCCATTTTTACCACACTTGTGTAAATTCTCGTGATYTGATTGGCTRAGAAGAGTGGGTCTACTTGAGTTTGGGACATTTGACACGTCAARAGTGTATGTGAATAAGAGGACTTCAACTCAATGAAACCATCACGATGGCAAGAAACGGGTGTTTTTTTCTCCCTCGGTATATATGACCTTACAGAAATTCATACAACGATCCAAATGTGACGAAACTTAGCATGAAGATAGTTTCGAGGTAGACAAGTTTTATTGGCATTTTATTCTGTTTTGATTTTGAGTGAAAAGATGACGTCATGATCGATGTCCAAATATGTCAATAAWTTTTAGAATTTTGGTTTTGGTTTTAAAATCTATCTGGCTATCTTCTTCAATGTAAACGATGCACTTCGGTGAAAATTTCATYCAAACACGTTAAATGATTCAAAAGTTAGAGTACAAACATTAAATGTGTGCAATACTTTACACTATTTACTACAAAATAGCGTTAATTAAATAATAATAATTGGTTCACAGTATAAATAGATAAAAAAGTATTTTATTTATTGGTTCAATAGCCACAACAACACTGAGACAARCAAAGTATATYAAATGTATAAAGTAAGCAAYACTTAGAATGGATGCAACAAATGTCCTAATCAACTGCCTATYAAATATCCTAGTCCTTATCCCTTCAAAATGAAGAAAGAATGGTCCAATTATAGGCCCTGCACCATTCACTGGATGCTTGGGRACAATGATAAATTTTTCTGGTAATGTTTGAAGGTGGACGGGGAGGCTCACGATATTTTGCCCGTCTAATATCAGTAGAAAATTTCACCTCCCCACTATGGTTGGTCACCCTATTCTCAGCGCCCACTTTTCAACTTCCACCTCCCCTCCCCCTGACAATTTTTGACAAGACCCTTATGTCGGCCTTTATTCCATTTATCTTGTGCTATTAATTGAAATTACAGTTCTTGCCCGACGATCTTTCACAAAAAAGTCTGGGACTAAACGTCAGACAGTCGAAAAATCTCAAAGTGCCGTGCTTGTGACCGGGGTTTGTGACTATACAAACTTACTATTTCGGTCATTCCCTTGTTGTATTAATTGAAATTACGGTTGAACGGACGATCTTTCACACACAAAAAAATCAACTGCCTGACGTTTAGTTCTGGGACTAAACGTCAGGCAGTCAAGGAAAAATCTCACAATTTGCCGTGCTTGTGTTTGAAACTTGTCGAACAGTATTATTTTGGTCTTTAGTGCATTTCCCTTGATGTATTTATTGAAATTACGGTTGTTTCGACGATTTTTTATGTATTAATTGAAATTACGGTTGTTTCGACGATTTTTTAAGAAAAAAATCGACTGCCTGAGGTTAAGTGCTGGGACGCCAGGCTACCTGACGACTATAGACACTCCGTAAAACTATAGTTTCAAACACGAGAGAGTGTGTTTTATTAGGTATAAAGATTCGAGCCGAAGGCGAGAATCTTTATACCTGATAAAACAGGGTCTCGAGTGTTTTAATCGGCTTAAAAAACTCCAACACTAATTTGAAACTCAAAGTCGTTAAAATTCTTGGAGAAATTGCTGTAAATATAAGTTTTGAGATACATGGTGCAAACTGATCGTAAACAGTATGCAAAAGTATGACAAATTCGATTATTTTGAGCAGATCTAGAAATCACACAAAATATATCCTTTAGTATTTATCTGGTAAAGTCACGGATCTTGAGTCTAAATTGATGTCTTCTAAGAACATTGCATATTCTCATACCACCCGATGCTCAAAGAAAATCTTGCTAAACAAAAGTTTCCCAACAATAGATCGTTTGTACAATGCTCTCTCAAGTTTTCCTCAGTAAAAATACCTAGGAATCCAGATATGGAACGACCMAATCCAACAGCAACGATGGACATGCTCATCGCGGTACCCATTAGCTTGGAGTTTTCGAATTTTTCGCCAGCATGGAGAAGGCCCCTGACACCAACGGAGCCAAATAACACACCGTGACTAAAACTTAACACTAAAATAATGTAAACACTGGGAACAAAGCGATACCAGGAGGCTGAGAAGTAAAATATCMGAAGTGCAACACTTRACAAAACTAGAATGGATGTTGTGYGTAAACGCGGAGAACTGTTRTTCTTCCAGCAGGGACAAAGGTACGAAATCATTATCATCTCCATTCCACCAAAAAACATTCCTATGTCAGCTGCAAGTCTGTAGTATTGATAATGATCACGGGCGTGGAATGGTGCAGACGGGAAAGCCAGAGTTGTGAGCACAGAATTTGCCGCGAGAAAATAAGTAAAGTAAGTAACAAAGTAACATCCCATAGCAGGAGAAATCTTGAAGATCATTGAGAAGACTGACATGCTCTTGTTTTCATTGATGTGCARCGRTGTGTACTCTACAGATTGAGGTCTCTGATACTTTTTCAATGGTCCGTGGTTTAGAATTGCATAGAAGAGAATTGCCAACAACCCCAGCGGAAAAAAAACGATAARGGTTTTCCTCGGAGAAAGGCATAACCAAACAGTGGATCCTGCAAAGSAAAAAGCGCTGTTTAACAAGCAACACACTCGCTGGACTGGTAGTCCCACGCACAACGAAATATTTCCTACCTGTGTAAAGGAATCCCATCAATATAGCCGAGAGTGTTGCACCGCATGAATATGCACTTGTGCACTTTTCTATTTCCTTGAAGCAAGCAGACAGCAATATCACTGAAATATTTGCTAAAAGATCAGCTGCAAAATAAATGGCCACTCCTATAAGACGGGTCTTGGGATCTTCGGCAATGACAATAAGAAGATAGGAAATGAGCCATAATAAGGCRTACAGAACAAAACCCCATGTAAATGATATCTTCCTTATTATAAAGGGTAAGCTTGCGGTGCTTAGTGTTTCAACACATCCAAAGAGTAACAYCACYACAGAAGACTGGATTAGAGTGCCTGACATGATATCCTCAGTGGCCATATAGAGAAGCGATCTTGGAACAGAATACGCAAGACCATAGAAAAACATACACAAGGTTACTARTTCGCTCTTCATGTCTTTAATTAACAGGAGAACTTGTACGTATCTGCAAATCAAATACAACTTTTTAAAACATTTAAAYAACATCCAGAAAATGCTTCGTAACAACGATAAAGCATCACCCTCTTAAGTTATCCGTAAGATGACTGATTATAAGAAAAATATGTGTTTATAAACCGGAATATACGATACTTGGTTCGAAATCCATCATTTTAATGCTTCATTTTTGGAGTTCAGACCAATTTGGTAATCCATAATAACTCCATTGACTACAACCTGGAATGCGAGCGACTGGGATTCTAATCGAAGMAACATACAGGATCTGGGATCATACCATGTACAATTTACTTTTTTATTTAAGTAACACTGAAAGATTAGTTTCGTTGCTGATAGAATACTTCAATGGGGATGATGTAGAACAAGCTAGTATGACTAAAAATAAATGAATCCTCTKCGTTTACCAGTGATATTTTTAATACCGAGCTTTTTTTGTTACATATATATCTAATTGYTTCACTGYCATAGTCTGTCATTTCTTTTCTTTTCACTCCATTTCATTTCATTCCATTTCATTTTACATTTTATCTATCGTAATTAGCTCGCGCTGTATTGCTGTGTTTCCTCGCGCGCTTTCCGTTTTTTTGCGTTGTTTAAATTCTTACGTGTACTCTACCTTGATAATGGCAGCTTAGGCCGAAATTAAAGCTCGGTATTAAAAATATCACTAGTAAACGCAGAGGATTAATTTATTTTTAGTAATTATGCATGCCTGCGTACAAAGAAATTCTAAGCTAGTATGAGATTATCAAGTGCTACTTATGACTGAGCCTGTCTATGCCTGTGTGATTTTAATTGCGATGAATTGAAAAAATGGATAAATTTCACATTTTAGGAGCATAACAATGACTGCTTCAAATAGGAGCAACACACGAGAGCATTAAATATATCTTGATTAGTTCTACGTTAGAACCTATTTTCTTATCAAATACAAAACTAAATATTTGGTTGTAATTCGACTCGAAACGACGAATGCATGCCGTGAGAAGGAACAGAGTCTTTGCTAATGACTGAGAGTACAAATCAATACTCTTTAAGCTTTTGATTCAGTATCTTCAGTAGAGGAAATAGAAGTTTAAATAATTTAATCACACGTCCCTAGATCTTCAGTTATTTAAAAGAAATATTATAAAAAAATAATACAATCTAAAACCTGTATTGAGAACGTTTTATCTCCTCGTTAAGAATTATACTTCTCAGATTGATATATCTTGAGCAAACTGAGGCAATTTCAAGAAAGGTTTCGATTAGTTTTAAATATGCGAAAGTATAACTCAATTGCTAAATAGCAATTGTTCTTCTTGCTGCTTATTCAACCAACTGGATATATCTACCGCGCTCTGGAAATATCTGCAGACGACGAAGGGGGATATTCACTTACCCATKTGAAGATTCCTTTGCTATAATATGATATCAGGTGTGCAATTATTTAGAAGTGTATTACATTCTCTTTCTCTGGTGTCTGTACTGAATCACCCGACTTCACAACAATGAAGAGAAAGTGATTTTTGAATAATTATAAGCTATTTTTATTTCTATGAGCATGCATGAGCGACCAAGATGAAATCTCAAGTTTGATGATTGCACGAAATCAACAAAATTTGTAGTAACTTTATTTATTGCTGCTGTGTCTGTGTAAAACTTTTACTAAGCAATATTTTAATATGTTTTTTTTTACATCGAAGATGGTGATCGTGGCCATATTATTAATAAAGTCTATTGCATGTGATTTGAGTTTGTAGGCTGCTCCGAAGGTTTTTCTCCAGGTCCGCTGGTTTTCCTCCCTCA